TTCTCTTTAATTTGTCCTAAAATATATTATGAAATTCTAATATTGTCGTATATATATTATAAGCTTTTATATTATCAATTGTGTTTATTATTTATATTATTTTTATTTTATATTATTTATATTGTAGTCATATTATATTTTTATTATTATTAATTATAATTATATAAAAATACTTCTTGTGTCCCTTCTCCTTACGTTATCTACCATTGAAATTTATGTACCATTTCTGAGGCAATCCTTAGCTTCTATGCAAATAAATATCATTCGATAGCCATTCTAAGTGTAAATTGTTCCATCTCAAAAAAACCATTCGAACGTTGTGTGCTCACAGCACTGTGAAAATTTATGACAGCACGTGTCCACTTCAAAGGCTCCGAGGCCGCACTTAATGCCCGACAACAATGAGATAGAGAGAGAGAGAGAGAGGGAGAAGAAGAGGCGAGCAACTTAAGATCCGCTTGCCCGTCGCTCCAAGCGAACCAAAACGCTTAGCAAACAATAGAAATTTGTGCCTACCGCCAGTGCAGGCCGCCCGCCTGACCACACATCACATGCGATCCAGCAGCTGGGCAGAGGCAGCGGGAGCAGCGGCATAAAATGCTTTATGAGATTATTTGCTGAAATGTAGCGAACGGCTTTTCTTATTTATTTGCTTTGGGGCCGGGTCGTGTACACTTTTATGGCGCTTTAAGGTATGCAGCGAAACGGAACGAAACGAAACGAAACGGGCTCGAAAAAGGGAAATTATTGCGGTCCGGCCCAATGGCAGGCATTAACCAACATTCCAGTGGCCAAAACATTGCGGCATATTTCATGTTCGCCTCAAGGATCTATCCCTTTTCTTCCTTACGCTCTACCTCTCCCATTTCCCTTTCCCTTTTCCTTGAGCTGTTGTCCGCTGTGTTGGATCAAATGCGCTCGAGTGTTAAAATTGTTGGGCAAAGATTTGCATGGCAGGGCTTCGGTTTTCTTCTTTTTTTTTTTTATTATACCTTTATTGAAATATAATACGTTTTCCATTTCGTTGGGTCGTTCTCAAAATCTGCTGCGACAGCTTTTCAAATTTTTTTGCCAACTACCGAAAATTGGTCGATGCAAAAGATTTCATTCGACTTCGAGCCGTGACAAAACGCAACTTATGCCAGCTTTGTATTTACGCTATTGGTAATCCTCAACGCACAAAAATGACAGAGCACACACACACATGCACGCCAGCACTCATACACTTTGATACTCACCTTTAGACCTATGTAGTGGTGCTCGCAGAGATGAGCTGACTGCCGCTGAGTGCTAAGTCTGCTCTTCAACGCATTTGGGTTTTGAGTGTTGCTGTCACAAACGCCCACATCACAAATGGTTTGTCTGACGTCATAGCTCGACCATGTACAGGTGAGCTGAGGTGAGCAGGACAACAAAAAATTATTTCGATGTGTGGATCATTTACTTCATTTAAGGAATATCATTAATGAATCTTGCAACGCAATGTTTGAAATGCAATTAATGTTTGCGACTGATAGCAGTAATGCTCTATAAATAAAGGCAGGCCAAGCAGAGACATGTTGTATTCAATAGCATTTTCTTACAGAGAGAATAAAAAGGGAGAAGAGTAAATGCAGTAATGTTACAGTGCCTGCCATTCATATGCTGAAAGTTGTTTAAAGGCTAAGCCGCTTATGCCACTGGCCAGCGCTCGTCCAGTGTCCAGTCAGCCATCTCGTCTGGCAGCTCATCTGCCTGTCCAGGCCGTCACTAAATGCCGGGTACACGTTGCCCATATCGATGGAGAGACTGAAATCCTAAAGCCAGCAGCTGGACGCAAACAGCAACAACAACAACAACAGCAATAACAACAATCGAAAAAAGAGACGAAAAAACGCGTCATGTGTGGGTTCATTTGTAGCGGAAATAACTTTTTGATGCACAGCTTCCACAGGCTGATTCACCTGGCCACAAAAGCTCCAAGCATGAGTCCAATGCGCTTAAACTGTAAAACATTTGGGCCAGCAACTGAAAAGGACAACAACAACAATAGCAACAACAGCAGCAGCGGCAGCTGTAAAGAGGAAAGAAAAAATGTTTTTGGTAAAGTCCATTACTATTAAAAAAGTTTCAGCTGGGAACAACAGGAGCTGGAGCTGGAGCAGGAGCAGGAACAACAAACTTTATCGAAGGCCTGCGCACAAAGATGACATCAAAGTTGTGCGCTTAATGTAATGGCAAAGGGCGGGAAGGGAAATCATGCCAGCTCCTCTATCATATAGGGTATATCGGAGCACGGCATGCTCGTGCATGTTCATTTTCGCTGTCGCTGTTGCTGTGGCTGCTGAAAGTTAACTCTTTGTGCCGCCGCCTGCTCGCTGCTGCAGCTCCTCCTGCTCCTCCTGCTCCTCCTCCTGCTCCTGATCCTTTGGCAACTTTGTTTCACAATCGAGTACAAAATTCACTCGACTGGATTAAAAGATTAGTGTAGAGATTATGAATCATGTGGCGCATGGTGGAGTGGTAGTGGTAGTGCTCGTTCGCCTTTTGGTTAACGGAAAAAGTTTGCATGTCGGCCGAGCCGAGGCTTTTGCGGCATGAGGCTCTAGTTCCGCCAAAAGCTTAAAGCTCACATTGTTTACGCTTCACTTGAGGTACACTCGGTAATCTCTCAAATATTGACAACTTAACCAGGTAGCTGGGCAGGTGGGCAGGTGGGCAGGTGGGTCGAGCCGACTGTCAATTGCAGGCCCGTTGACCCTTTTTAGCTTGTGTCAAACCCATTTGATTTCAATTTGGCTGAAGTTCGGCCAACTTTAGCGGCCTCTTCTCTCTCTCCCTCTCACACTCTCCATTTTTCTTTTTTACCTGTGACCCTAATTTAACGCCTTGACAATTTTTAATTTTTATTTGAAAACTTTGCGCCTCATTCAACCTTCAACTCAATTCAAATTTTTAACGCCAGCCAAACAAACCAAAAAAGTTGCCACTCATTACGAATTCTAAAAGTATTTTCCTCTCGCTTTTTCGTTGTCAGCAACTGAGCGCAGGTAAAGGTAAACTTTTTGCATTAATTTTATTGCAGCGACATCTTGAGAGACAAACCCCAAGGTCCATTCGTCTTAGAGCTCTGTCTCTCAGTCCTTTGCAAGTCCTCAACATTTTTATCAGCTGCCAAAGCTGTCGATTGAGTTTTGTCTTCCTTCAAATTGGGTGCTTGCTTCTTTTAAAATATTTTTGTGTACGCTAGCAACGACTTGTAGAAGTTTGTCATAAAATTTATAATAGACTGAATCAAAAATTTTGAGATTGAATCATTTTTAAAAATTATTATAATTCTAACTAAATGAAAATGTTTATTTTATATATCATGTCCATATATTTATATTATATATCAAATATAATCAAATGGAGTCTAACCTTTGTAAGCGAATGATTGATAGTTTAAATGACTATTTAAAATTATATTAAGTTAAATAGGTAATTCGAAAGCCTTTTTGAAATGCTAAAAACAATCCCATGCATTTTACAGAGTATTTCAACTTCAACTTCTGTAATACTTAAAAACTCCTTTGCTTTTGTTTTTGTTTTCTTCTTTTTTTTTAAATTTAAATTTGTAGTTGTTATTGTAGGGTCAGGAAATGCGCTGTAAGTTGAGGCACTTGGCCAGCTTGGGGCAAATGAGATTTGTTTACTTAGGCAGGAAAGGGTTGAAGGTAAAGGCCCTAATGGGACGAGCGTCAGTTTAATGAATTAGGCATAATGTGTAAAGGAAATTTAATTAAAAAGGGCAGCAGATCTAGCCGACGGTGTAATTAAAGACAGTAAATGCAATCCGAACGCCACTCAAGCAGCTTAGCTAAGCTATCGCATTACGCATACGCAACGTTTAACAAAGACTTATTTCCAAGTCGGGCAGCGCCTCGCCTGAAATGCCATTCATGCACATAAGGAATGCTTTAACAGCTCTCCAAACACACAAATGCAGAGCTGACAACAAAAATGACAAACTAAAGCTCTGATGAAAAAAGAAAACAAACATGCTGAGAAAATAGCAACTATGCGCTGGGTTGCTGGGGTGCTGTTGTGCTGGGGTGTTCGGGTGGTGGGCTAAGCCCTTGGCAACTTTGGCAGTGTATAACTGTGCTCTAATGCGCAGCTAAGGATACAAATTACGAAACAATGACGTCAACGTGCCTGTCAACAACTTGGCCAGACAATAGTTTTGCAACAGACAAAATAGGACGGCCGAGTGGGGCGTGGCGGGTGCAGAGGGTCAGACCCAGGCCAGCCGCCAGGTGCAACGGACATTTCTGTCGCATACACACAAATTACGTGCGAGATTATGCCCAGCCCGAGTTCCACTTGGAGTCGCTCCCAGTCAGCTGGAAAATGAATGTAGGACGGCTGAGGGGGATGAGGACGGGACGACATTTGCGATTATTTTGCAATGCGCACGTAGCAAGAGCAACAGACGATACACAACTAATATGAGTGATGCGATTGGGAGTGGGCGACCACATGGTACCCTGTAAGCAAGTAAATATATTTATATAGTGCTTAAATGGAGCAAAGGTAAAGTTAACAATCAAATTTATGTGTCATGCATATTTCATTCTATAGGATTCTATAAAAGCATAGATAGTCCTATTTCTATTAAATCTAATAAGAGACTGACTTGAAACGTAGTACATAGCTGTGAATAAGATTTAATTATATAAAAACGAAATATATTGTAAATATATAGTAATTTAGAAAATATTAAAACATTATATAAATAAAAATTATTAAATACAATAAATATTTAAAAATAATAAATTATTTATATCAATTACTATAACACATATAGAACATATCATGAAGCATTTATTATTTATGTCATACTTTTATTCTATTTATTAAAAATTCTAGAAATGGTTTCAGTATTTTCTTCTCTTTTTCTCAAAAAGTTTTTATTTTTCAATCTAAAAAAAATTTTGTTATAGCATGAATTAATTTGTATATTTTTTTCATACGTTTTTCAAAAATAATTAAATTAATATTTTTGTTATATTGGAATAGATAGATATATATAAATGGGAGCTTTTGACCCATTTGAATCTTTTGTTTTTCCACATTCCATTTTCTCACACCTTCAGCTATGTCAGGTCCTGCTCGTAGAGCTCCAGCATACCATTCATCTGCCATTTATGCGTGGTATAAACGCTATGAATGCTTAGTTCAAGTTCAAATCAAATTTAATGACAAGCGCTGCCTCTGACCAGGCTGGCGCAAGAGGAGCCGAGCTGAGCTGAGCTTGAAGCAGCCAAACATGCATTTAAATGCAGCCTGATTTGATTACAAAGCCGTGTCAGGAGTGGAGGGGCGAGTGCAAGCGCGCTGAGTGCTGACGGCTACAACAATCGTGCTTTGTTATCCATATGTCAGAAGGTGTGAAAATTAATATTTGCGTTAAAAAGGAAAGAAAACAAGCCAATGCCAGAGCTGAAGAAGATGAACAGCAGCAGCAGTAGCAGCAGCAGCAGCAGCAGCAGTAGATGCTGGCATTGTCTGCCACGTGACTCGTAATTAATTTCCTGGGCTCTGCTCTGCCCCTCCTCCGAGTGCCCTCGCTGCCGTTTGCGTTGCTTTCAGATCAAATGCATTATCTTAGCTGTAGTGCTTAGCTCCTTTCACGCTTGTTGCTTAGCAGTCAGCCAAAGGTGCTGCATTGTTGTTGTTGCTTTTGTTGTTGCTGCTGCTGCTGCTGCTGTTGCTGTTGCCGTTGTTGTTAACCTGCGGCCATTTCATTGTCTAGCTGCAACGCGCTCGAATACGCATGTTTCTGGCAGCCGCTTTGAATTACGGTGCATTTGCTTTAAGGTGCTCCAGCTCTAGCAATAGTCAACTACTCCTTGGCCACGTTGAGTGGCAAGTGCCAAGAGCTTGTTTAGCTAGAGCCGCGTGTTTTTGGCGGTTGTCTAGATTAGCTTTCTACCGTGCATGAGTCTTCCGTATATAACTAAACGTCATTAGCTGTGTTAATTAATTTAAAAGTTTTTGGCCCACAGCATTCGTCAATCAACTAAATGCGCTTGTCAAACAGAGAGGAAATTGCAAAGGATTTCTTTGGCTGATGTGCCTGGCATTGGAAGACAATTTACGTGGCGTATGCTTAATATACACAATTTAATAAAAGAGAAGGAAAAATCTCTATTCCAATTTTATAAATTTGTATACCATAAAATAATAAACTTAGCATAGATTTTTGAATTCATTTTAAAGCTTTGTAGATTAATACAAGAATTACAAAATGTCTGCATCTTAAACATTAATTCTTAAAGCCAGTTTTCAAGCACTTCCTGCACACATCTGTTTCAAACAGTTTATAGCCTTGTATTGACATTGTTGGTCTACTTTTGCTTGAAATTTATTTCATTCATTATTTCATTTATTTGCACATTGCAAAAGCTTTTCGTTAGCCTCCTTTCGGCCATTATTAGCCATTAAATGGCCAGTGTTGAGGGCCTAAATCATTCGCCATAGCTGAAAGTCATGCAACATAAAATCCGTTAGGGTCAGGTATTAAGGTAAATCAGATTTTTGTTAGCTTGTGGCATATGCCGTCTGCACGTGCCCATAATGTGGCCGCACAATTAAACTTTGCCACAAGCCGCAGTTGCGCTGCACTTTGGACCATAAATTAGGGCCAACCGCTCCAAATACAAAATAAATGGCCAAGCAACAGCCACCCACACACACACACATACATAAATATGTGCTATGGCCGAAGATACAAATGCAAGAGCCGAAGACGACACAATTTAACTGCTGTGCAGTCGCGCATGAATTGCGCACTAACTGCGAATGCCTCACAGCTCGGCCCCGAGTCAATTATATGGGCCTTGGACATTAAATGTCATTACGCAGCAACAATCAACAGGAGCTCGGCGCTCTGCACAGCCGGCGAGGGCGTGGCCGATGAGGGAGGCAGCCGCACACAGCCGCACACAGCCAAGCTGAGCATGAAATTAAAATGCGCCTAAGATGTATTGTCGTCTGTCATGCGTTCGACGCTGTAGACAACGATGATGCCATACTTTGGGATAACTTGGCCAGGCAGGCGGCCATGGCAATACACGGCTAGAATTTAAAGAGCTTCTGCTGTCAATGACATATGTACATATATTTATATTTGACATTAAGTCTTGGGCTGTTGAATATATTTTATTTTAATATGTACAAGTATATAAATATATGTGTAAAAAATTTTTAAGAGAAAATTGGAGTTGAAGCTTGAAATGCTAAATTGTCTTTGAATTTATCCAAATATATTTTTACTATTTCTTTTTTGTCCTAGTTTGGTTTTCAAATTCTCTTTTGCATTAAATCTTTTTCAATAAATATTATATATACACATATATATATTTTTTTAATTTCCTAAATTTTCTCTTATATAATTTTTTGCAGTGTTTCGTCATATCGCTGCCGGCATGTCGTTTTGCTTATAATTTCATTTTTCACACCGTTGTCTTAACTGCCACAAGTTGGCAGCCAACTTGCCACCCATTCAGCTCACCCTCCGCAATGCCCTTTGCTTGCCCCAAGTACAGGTTGTGCCACATTCTCAGGCCTTATGCCTCAGCCTTGGCTCATTGTGACTTCGCTTTGACTTCGATGCCGCATTTGGGAATTATGCCAAAGCGATAATAATAATAAAATGAAAATGCCTTTAAAGACAGACAGAGAAAGTGAGTGTGTGAGAGAGAGAGAGGGAGAGAGCATCGTCTACAGGCGTTGCAGCGTATGGACAAACAATTTCAATACAATTTCCAATTGCCTGTTGCACTTTAAATTACATTTGAAAATTCAATTAATACCCAAAAAGTGTAAAGTGAATTTGATTGTTGTTTCGTTTTGCTTGATTTGAAATGCAAAATCAAAAGCGGCCGCTCGCAGCGCGCAGCTGGCGACTGGCGAGCGAGTCAATTAAATGAATGTCAAAGAGCAGTGGCTGACGCTCGCTTACAATGGCTTCTCCTGGCTCAACAATTCCTTTGACACACACTCACACACACTCACACACACACACTCAGAGACAGGCAGACAACAGTGGCTGACAATGAGTGTGTATATGTTGTTGCTGCTCCTCTCTCCTATAGCCGTTGCTGCATCCAGCTTCTGGTTCCTATTTTCCATTTTGTTGTCTTTATAGCAGTCGCCTCCTGTGGCCTGTCGCGTTCTCGCCCTCTCGCCCTGTGTTATTGTAGCTATGGAAATGAATATTAATGCCGCCTGAATTGTGCAGGCAGTGGCATGCGCAATGCCTACGCCCAGGGGCGCAACGACTTGCCCATGGCAGACCGGACTTGGACAGTTCGACAAAGTCCTTTGGCCGCAGTGCGGCTCAGTGAACACTTTGCTTGGCATTAATATTTATCAGCGGTATCAAAAGTTGATATTGCTGTTGTCGCTTCCCTCTCGGTTAAGTAACACATTTTGCATACTCTTTGTTTGCCTGGCAGTGTTTATCATATTTCAATAAACCAAATTAATTGGGCGCACGAATATGCCTTGAGCTGACTATTGTATAAATATATTTACTTAATTATGACATTAAGCCTGTAGAATTATGAAATCAATTCAAGTGAATATTTATATGCAATTATTCTGAACAATAGACAATTAGTTGAATGCTTTGGCAAGTCTTCAGAATGATAGAAAGTATTAGTAAGCAAAGCTGCTTTAATTAATTAGCAATATTTCAACATATTCTGTATTAATTTTGTGGTCAAAGCACGTTCATTATAATTGTTGCAAATTATACTTTTCAAACAAAATAAATAAATACATTCATATAAAACCAGACGAACAACATTTAAAGCATTTTTTCTCATTTACAGCATTTGCAGTATCTCAATCATTTCACAAAAGTTTACACAAAATTCTTCCTTTGTAAATGTTAATGAACCCGTATCTGATAATATTTAAATAACAACAATAACAACAACAATGATTTTATTAACTGATATTTTTGCGAATTTTCAGTGATTTTTGCAATTGATGAAAAGGTAAATTAAATACCCTTAAATGCAGCTTTCGAGTCTCGATAATGTTATATGCTTGAAACACAACACCCTCGAACATGATTAAACCTTATCATTTAACCACACACTCGCAGCAGCCACTCACACACCCGCACACACACACAACCAGACACACTCTTTGAGGGCGTGTTGTGCCATTGTCAACAGTAATGAAATTTTCCTGTACACGAAACGAAATTAAATCATTAACACCTGAAGCGTGCGCAGCCAGTGACAACGACATTCAAGTCGCAGTCCAGCAATGGACCAAATCGAACATGACAGTATGCATGTCAATATACCCTGTAGAAAAAAGCAGATGTGGAAGTGGAAATGGTTATTTACGAGAGAGAGAGAGATGGAAAAAATGGATTCATTGCCTAGAATGCCAAAGGCAAAATTAATAGATAGATGGGTAAAATAATGTACATATATATATTAGTTCTAAATAACGTTTAAGCTACCCTCGCATTTATGATATACATATTGTAATATGCATATTAAAAATATAGATTTTATTTAATAAGCAACATTTTTTAGTCCCACATCTATCCCATTTTTCTGGCCAATTATCAATGTTTCTGCCTTTCATCCTCCGTACTGCCGTCTGCCCTGCACCAACTCTCACTTTGAAGTCGTGTTCATTGCCATAAGAATCAGCTCTAAATGCTCGCAGGGTATATACATATATTTACACTGTCTGCCGGGGCGACTTTCAATAACATTTAAAATACGCGCGCACTTCAGAGGGTTGCTTGCCAGTGTTTGTTCTCAATACTACGCATGTATGCGTTTGTGTGTGTGGGTGTGTGTCTGTGGGTGTCTCGCTTTTATTGCGCCAATAATGCAATTTGTTGACATTGGCCAGGCCGTGTTAATAAGTCGCGCAACGCACCGGTAATGCAATTTCCAGCTGCCAGCAGCTAGCAGCAAAGAGGAAAATGCCTTTTCACGACCATTGAACTTGGCCCCAAAAGGCAATTGCAAAAGAACTTAATTAATTAGCTGCCAAAAACTTTGCTTTGCAAGTTTTTTGCCCACAATCTGATACACTTGCCACAGTAGCAGAAGCAGCAGCAGCAGCAGCAGCTGCACTACGTTCTCAATCTAGGATAAATGAAAAACCCCAGTGCCCACCCAAGGCTAAAGAACTTTGCGTGTATTTACTGTTTTTCTTTGGGATTTCGATTCGGGCTGCCGTTGCCGTTTTTTTCTTTTTTTGTGCTTTTTGCCATTGTTGCTGCTCTTAAGTGCTGGACAAGGACAACAAGGACCTGCTGTAGGAAGCTTTTGTGTTTTAGTTACGCTGCCAGCCGGAAACGGATGCGGCAGCCGCAGCGGCAGCGGCCCATGTCCATGCCCAGGCCAAGCCAGACGAAGCCAAAGGCAAACGGCGGCTCAACATTCGAGTTGAGCCTTGTCCAGCTCTGACCGCAATCGCATTGTGGCATTGTCCACATCAATGTTGTCGCCTTCTATTTTCTGGTGCCCACTCCGGATTAATAGTACGGCTCATCGTCCATCTCAGCTGCTGCGAAGGGCACAAGAATTGATTTTACTTTTTTGATTCATAGCAGCAAAGCTGGATCGACACCTTTTTTACTTAGGCAGCAACAGCTGCTGCTGCTGCTCCTACTCCTGCTGCAAACTTCAACTTCAATAATTGCATTGACAAATCTTTGGCTTTTGGCACTTGCACAGTTTAGAAACTCAGCACAAACCAAGCCAAATGAAAACCAAAACTCACAAAACTTTTAAGCACGCAACTCTAAAGAACTTCGAGCACACACACACACACACACACTTAGATGGCTCTCAAATTAAATTAAAGTTATTAAATCATCAATTCAATCAGACAATTAAGAAAGTTGGCAGCTGGCAAGTTTTCGGCCACATAAACTTGAGGACACATGTGGCAAACCAACAGCTAACCAACTCTTCATTTCACTCGCTCTCTCTCTCTCTCTGTCTATCTCACTCTGTCAACATTTAGTGCCATTCAGCTAAAAATTTGTTCCAGCTCAAATTTAATTTAGTCGCAAAATTCAATTTATGGCTGACAGCGAGTTAAAGTTAAAATTTCAACACTTCATTACGCTGCATTCATATGGATTTTAAAGGTATCAGAATATAAGTGCTTAAACTGAACTAAACTACTAAATGTCCTGTACATAATATTTGACTACTTTATGTGCACATTTGTTAATCTTTCAAAAGTGTTGAACAAATAGAAAACAAATTTTATAATAAATAGCTAGACACATATTGAAATATCAATTCTGCCTAGATCATCTTTTACATAATATTTAGTTTCATTTTGAGTATAAACTGCCCGCTTCTTATTATCGATACAGGGTATATATAGAAACACGCGCAGTGGCCAGCAGTTTATTAAAGTTTCTGTCAAATTCCAGTCGCTCATTGGCTCGCTTTATATATATAATCATGAATACTCATGTGTGTTTATATATATGTATATATATATATATATATATGTATAATTTGTGTGCTATCACTTGTTATTGATTTCAATTTCATTATCGCTTTGGCTTTTGTTTCCTTCGCTTCTGCTTCGGCCCTGAGCACAACTGTCCTGCTGACAGTTTCCTCCATTTGTCTGGCTGTCCGGCTGTCAGCCGCTGCAGTTGTCAGGACAATTACCTCTGGGGCATATGCATTACAACATGTAATGAGAGCAAGCAATGCACTATTCAACTAATGTAAATGTAGTTTAAAGCTGGGAAATGAGACACACCTGAACAGGTAGCCAATACAATATTTATACCAATTTCGAATTAAACTCTTAAGTCAAATAATTAGTGCTAGAAGTGCAGCTTCACCTTTAATCAAACTGCCAAGTCAATAAAAAGTTCTCATATAAATTCTTGGAACTATTTAGCTGCGCCTGAAGTTTGTTCTAGCACTTTACTAGAAAAGCCACGTGTGTGTGTATGGATATGTGTGGGTATTGCGCTTTTCGATTAGCTTAATTCGAAAATTCCAAAGTTCAGGCATTGATTGAACTTGTCCTGCGCCTGGCACTAATGAAAATAACGCAAATGTTTAGTGTTTTCCCTCCTCTTTATTTTATTTTACTTTTCCCTCTTTCTTTGTTGGCTTCCATTTGGCAGCCTGGCCTCGGGATGGAGTCAGGGCAGCTGACAGCAGCTGCCAACAGAAGCGTGTCCTGTCGGCGCCTGGCATGATTTTCAATTTGTGATCTTAATCAGCAGGTGTCCTGCATGGCTTGCGCTCTCTTTCATTGCTTTCCTTTGGCATTGCCATTCTTCTCGATTCTCATTTCATTATTTTTTCTTTTTCTTATTTTTTTCATTTTTGGTTTCCTATCAACATGAACGTCAGCATCATCGTCATCGTCATTGCCTTTTTATTATTATTTTTCATTCGGGTTTTGGCTGGCTGCCTACTAATAGCAGTTGTTGCTTCTGTTGCTGTTGCTGCTGCTGCTGCTGCTGCTGCTGTATCTGGCCTTTGTTCGCTCTCAACGTTCGACGCTCGTTGCTAGGCATTAACTTTTGTCATTTTGAGCACCCCTCAGTCAGTGAACAATGCATTGTGAATGGCCAGGACCTGGCCGAGGACCTAAGGCCTCCGCTTGACCCCCTCCAGCCCCATCCCACACTGTCTGTTGGGCCGGCCAGTGCTGCCTGTGCTGGCAGAGGCTGCCCGCTGCTTTTGGTCTGCTGCTGTGTTCATTTAATTAAATTACACCAAATTGTTCGGGTCGTCCTTTCATTCAGCACACAGCAGCAACAACAACAAATCGCATAAAATGTGTAGAAAATTACAAAATATGTTGGGCTGCAAAAATATTTGCTCAATGCCTGTTGCCAGTTGTCCTTAAAGTGTTCGTAATTGTTTTGCCTATACTGCTCGCCCCCCTCCACCTATCTCCCTCTTGGTCTCCACTCCCGCCCGTCAATTGGAAAACAATTTGGTTTTTAAATTATGTGAAAGACATGCAGACAAAAATGAGCATAAGAAATGCCGCATAAATAATACGAAAATATTTATATTTTTGGCTAACATATTCGAAAGATATGCGTAACAGCTGTGCCAAATGTGTTTGTGTTTGTATTCGAAGTCAAATTGAAAGCTCTGAATGCGTGTGCGTGTGTGTGTGTGTGTGTGCTGTATCTCTGTTGGTGTTTGCGAGAATTGCCGTCAATTTGCCGTTATCAAAATGCAATAGACATTTCAATTGCGCTGCGCAAGTAAACACAAAACGTTTTCTCCTGCATTTCGCCAATGTAAATCTTTCAAAAAGATTAACTTATTGATTAACTTTGTACTATATTTGTAATTCATAGTCATCGAAAAATTAATCTGAAAAATTGTTGATTAACGTTGTAATGTGTCTCTACTTTTACCTTCTCTCTTTGCATTGGCGATTAGCTGTAGCTAAAGATCTTTGGAATATTTGGTTATTCCACTGCCAACTCATACGCACACAAATTCGCACGCCAAAGCTGGCAAAACTTTTACAACAGGCCCGACGCAAATACTTTTCCCTGCACTATGGTCGCGATTCAATAAAATGCGTGCATAATTGTTAGAATTTAGAGGCGAAGTTTATTATTATATGCAAAATAGTCTTTATATTTTAATATTCCATAGAGAATATTCTATGTTAAATGAAGAGAATTGTAGTTTCATTATCATTTTTCACTTAGATTTTAAAAATGAAACCAGCTCATCTTAAATAAAATTAAATTTGGTTGGTAATTCCTATATTTTTTCGATATATCGTCTTTCAAGTTGTTTATTTTCAATAAATATAATTACATTCAACTATTGCCAATTCATAAATTTCAGCCTAACAACTAAATTATAAGATTTCCAACCCACAGTGCATAGAGAGTACATTTGGGCGAACGTTTAACATTTTTCGTTGCCTACTTTTTGGGGCTGGTGTTTTGGGCACTCCGCAATGCTCGCAATCAAAATCATAAAATATAAGTTTGCACTGCGTAAATTTCGAGTGTTTGCCGCAGCTGCCTAAATATTTTTTAATTTGCTTTGTTGTTGTTGTTGTTGTTGCTGTTGCTGTTGTTATTTTGGCGTTGGCATTTGGCAACTGTGCGCGTTAAAGCTCAAGTTATATTATTTTGGCAAAAGTTCTTCATCTGCCAACTGTTGCCCCAGCAGGCGGCACATAGTGATTAATCATAAACAAAAATCACTTGAAGCGCAGCTGCAGACGTAGCCCACAAACAACTGGCACACATATACACTTACATATACCCATACTCACCTATATAAAGCTTTGTCATTCGAACAAGAGTTGACAAAAAAAAAAAAAAAAAAGTAAAAATGGATATAAAAGAGATAAAGGCAGGTAACTGACGGTTTGGTAGCTGCGGCTCTCATATTGATCAATCAATGTCAGTTGGCTCCTGTTGCAAAATCTATAAGCAATATGATAACCATTTGGCAATAAACTCCAGCGTCTGACTGTCTGTCTGGCTGCCTGGGCATCTGTGCTATTGTCTGGCGTTGTCTTTGCAACACTTTGAGTGATTTGATATGGCGCATAACTGTAGACAGACACAAACACACACACACATACACGCCCCCGCTAACGCCCATTTGCTGCTAAACCTTTGATTGAAACAAATTTCCAATATAACCGAATGACAGATGCGACGAAAAGCGACATTTTGTTTTCACCGACTCCTCCGGCTGCCTTTACCCTTCACTCGTTTACATCCCTTTCCATCTTTTTTTTTTTTTTTTTTTTTTTTTGTGTTACTTTGTCTACCTTTGGCTGCTGCGCCAAAATGTGTCACTTTTTATGAGCGATCATTTGTATTTGCCGCCCTACTCTCCCCCTCTGCCTCCTATCTCTCTCTCTCTACTTGTTCTATGCCAATTTCGTTGCACCCCTTTGTGGCACTTGTATTTGCTGTCGCTCGTTTCCCTCTGCCTTTTAGCCTCTGTTCCTCTACTTGTACTCTGTAATGTTATGCTTTTGACAAATTTACGTTTAAGTGTATTACTTTTTATTGCTGCACACTCCCCGAGAAGCGATTATACTTAATGCTCCTCTCTTGTTGCTGGTGATTAATTAATTGATTGTTTCTTTTGTTTTTTTTTTTCTCCACTTGTTCGTATCTGATTTGCTTTCCTTTGCTGAGACGCAATTAATTGCCAATTGAATTTTTGCTAATGAAATTATTATATATTTGATTCGATAACAATATTTACTTATTTATAGCTGCGTGTCGAAACCGCTCATAGATCTTGTCCTTGATCCATTCCCTGCCGTAGGGCGAATAGCTGTCCGTGCTCTTCTGATACACCAGACAGCAGATATCCACGAAGGAGTCGATGAAGTCGAACAGTTGCTTTATGTCATACGTTATGGTGGGCATATTGGGGTATTTACGCTTCAGGTGCTCCTCATAGATATTGCAGACAGCCTCCAAGCATTCATCCAGCGTCTTGAACTCGCTATAGGTGCGCGTCTGTGGACTTTTCTTCGGGTGCACTAATAACACGGTGTGCGACATGGCAATCGATTTCTAAATAATCTAGGAGTTAAATATTAATTGAATTATTTCATAGATTTTTAGCAAATTGCAACTATATTATTATTATTATATATATATATTTTTTTTTTTCAAATTATGGCCTACTCTGATTCTCTAGCAATTATTATAGTATGCTGTGAAAATGAAATGGAAAATATATCGAATGGCAATAATGTAAAGACGTGTTATCGAGAAATCAATAACAAAGTCTATTTACATTTTACTAGTGTTGTTAAATTTTGGCGAGATTGGCTCCTAGTATTGCAGCAATGTGAGAGGCATAGAGTTGCAATAAAATTATTATTCGAGTGACTTTAAGTGAGTGAAAAAGATAGACAAATATTGCTACTGATGCATATAGTAAAATTAGTTGCTGACTTAAAGCGAGAATGCTTATTGGGCTTCTAGCTGTGAAGCATTTGGATTTTGTCAGACGAGCAGTCGGAAAAGCTGTCGATAAATGCACACAGTACACAGAGAATCCTTTATTAAAAGCAGTTATAAGAAGATTGGTTGATAATATCGGACGACGATCAATATATATTTATATAGGTCAAATATATATTTATATAAGTAGATCATGTGAATGCTTAAAACTAAATTAAGAAATACATATAATCTTGTACAATTAATTTTAACAAACTATGGGAGCTCTAACATATCAACTCTTCAATATCAACTCTTGGAATACCTACCTCGTCATGAAATTGCATAACAATAGTTTGATTATTTTCCGATCAATCGAACATCAAAAGTTAAATAATGCCACACTTAACTGTACTTGACTTGATTTTATTTGATGGGCGGAGCGGAGCGGTCTGTGTCGTGCCTTACATTTCGGCTGGAAAATGTCCCAGGCGGACAATTAGAGGAAAGGGTTTTAACGTCTTAAACACGTGCGTGCGCTTTCAATTTCATTTCCGTTCTGCTTGACGCTGTCCCTCTGCCCACGCTCTCGTCGCTACGTTTTAGTCCGTAATATACTTAAGTATGGAGCTCATAAAAGATTTAAGCGCCGCTGCCATTACAAATGCAATTTGCAAAAACTTTTGATTTCGCCAAGAGACCCAGGCAGTGGCACAGGCACTGGCACAGGCACTGACTGCGGCACAGTGGCAGAGGATCTGGGTCTCAGCTCAGAGGCTTTTATTGGTCTCATTAAACGAAAATGTTTGCGACCAAAGCGCGCTCAACTTGGGTTTGTCCCCATGTCGAGTTAACCGAGTTCTTCTCCAAAGTTCGCCAAGTTCTACGGGCTCTCTCAAATTGTAGACGAGTTCTCAGTGTCGCTTTCGATTTCTCGCTTCTCGTTGCGCTGTCTGTCATTGGCAAGTCCACTCACGTTTCGCTACCTTTTCAAAAAGGTGCGCGGCGTTGATTTAGAAAAACTTTTTCTTTCTTTTTCTTTCGTTTTTCATTTCATTGCGACTTGAGTGTGGCCAAAGATTTGAATGGTTTTTCACTTGACATTTTGTTGAAGTGCTTGTTGGTTGTGTTGCGGCCGACAACGTGATTCGATTTCAATTCGTTTTGGTTCCTTGGCCACCGCCGCCGCTGCCAAAGACTTTGATATACAACTTTGCAATTAAGCTGCCAATGAAGCGCAGACGAGCCCCGAAATTTTGCGACTCTCAACTTTCGACGTGGCTCTCGAGCCAACTTCAAATCAAATTAAATTTTACCAAATTATTTGCAATTTGTGCCACAGCTCGATTTGTCAAGAGCTCGAGCTGGTTGCAGCCATATTCATATTCATTGAGATTCAATTCAATTTTCACAAATTATGCGCTTGGTTAGTTTTGTGGCTTCCACAAATTATTTGGCTCCGAGAATACACAGAAATATATATGTATATGTATGTGTGTGTGTGTGTATCTGAGTGAGAGACTATGCCTGAGGCTTCCTCTTCATTATCTGTGAAGCATTCGGGTAACCATAAAATGGTTTGCCTCTGTTAAGAGACGCTCGTCGAAACTATGCCCAGGCTACAATGCTCGAGCTCTGCTATTGAATTTCCTTTATGACAGCCCATAGCAGTGTAATTGAATTGTTGAGCCCGAAATGGCGATGATAATTTGGTTGCTGCAAAGAATCAACTGTGATATCTATGACTTCAATTTGCTTTGCATTAGGCCTAACAATTTAATGACACTTTAACTTGGCCCAATTTGTATAAAAACTATGCATAAAATTCAATTTTATGTTCAATTACATTTATGCTCAATTAAGTTGGTTTCAATAAATTAAAAGCATTGTCTAAATTATTCAATTAATAAACGAGTTTTTGATTTCTCTCTACATATTTATTATAAATTAAATTTAGCTAGGTGCATAGACCAATTGAGCAGAAATTCGGATTCAATTTGCAATAATTATTTCGCTGAATATTTGTCTGTTAAATCTTACCTCAAAGCTGACACAAATTCGCAAATTCATGCTGAGCAGCTTTCGGGCGCATGTCACATTCTTTAAATCGCCAAATCGATTGTCAGCTGTGGCCTTTGTGGCAAATGTTGAGCGCTTTCTGAGCGATTAGGCGCCACATGAGCAGCAAAAATTTGTGGCGTGTGTGTCGATGTCGATAAGAACATGATAATGATGTCTAAGTCGCGCAATCCAATAATGAAAATTAATTTCACACACACCGACACAGTGAAAGAGAGAGAGAGAGAGGAGGAGCTGTAAACCGCAAGGCCCTAAAGCAATTTATGCCAATTTTCACACACGCACACACATCTACACATACTAATACACAGAACCAGACACAGGCATACCCGAAATATTTTTGACACCTGCAGAATTCCTATTGACAGCTGCGCCGCAGCGGCGGCGGCTGCGAAATACGCGTTTCAATTCCAAGCGTTTAGCATTTGGTTGGTTTTCAACGTGGTGTGTGTGTGTGTGTGTGTGAGTGAGTGTGTCCATGTATGTGTTAGTCTGTTCATGTGAGCCGCAGGCTTAGCGACTCTGTGTGCGAGTGTCTGGCATACGTGAAATTTTTGACAGTTATTTTAATGAAATTATGCAAGCGCACTTTCACACATTCAACACCAAACGATCTGCCAGCTGAGCGCCATGAGCAAAAAGCTTCAAGTTGTTGTTGTTGTTGTTGTTGTTGTTGTTATGCTGTGTACTTTGGCATCACGTATGTGGGTTAATTATATGCACTGACATTCAAAATTTTCGGTATTTAATTAGCTATATTGCAGCTGGGAATAGGTAAATAGGTTTCAATTATAATATTGCTAATTAGGTAAAGAATGAAAAACAGCTGGAATTTGAATACATAATATAATTACACCATATGAGATTGGCCTAAAAAATATTTAAATCAGGAAGACAGGACAAGAAAGTTTAATTTATTGGATGTCTATTTTATTTTTTATATACAGAGCTAAAAAACTATTTTTTTTTTTTTTATAATCTGCACTGTAAAGGATTCAGGCGATCTACCAGTCATTTAATCACCCAAAACGTAAATACTTTAACATTTTTTAATTTAACGTTAAAGTTGCCCTTTGTTCATATTACATTCACTATATAATATGGCAGCACCTGCTATTTTTATGATATCTTCCTCCGCTTCCCCTTCAGCTCCAAGAATTCTTATTTCTTTGAACCTTCTAGATCTCTAATATTACACTCCATATACGAGTAAATATATATAAAATAAAATGAAAATTTCCTGAAATTTGTAGAATGAAATCTCTATAGACATTATTTGCACTAGTAAATAGAATTTTCATTGTTAAAGTGCTTCAAGGCAGTAGTGTGACTGTTATCATCTATTTATTCTAGCGAATTGTAGTGCCAGCGCTCTTTGTTCAAATCTCAAATTGTGAGTGTGTGTGGGTGTGTGTGTGGGTGTGTGTGTGAGTGTGTGTCAAGGTGCCCGTTGTGTCATCGACGCCTCGTCAGTGTCTCGAACTTCAACTCGAAACTCCCAAGTGGCTAAGCAGCAGCAGCAGCACTCGAAAAATGTCGCATTCGCTGGAGCTGGACATGGAACTGCTGACAGCAGCAGTAACAGCAGAGCACATCAGCTGTACATACACATCACATTCACATGGGCTGCCAGCTCGGAGCAGGAGCTGGCATGGGGACAGCTGGGCACGTGTTGAGTGCGCACAAAAGTATGCTATGGGGCACACGAGCAATCTTTTATTTGATACGTTTTTGATTTGAGAACTAAAAGTCGCCGCAGCAGACAATGTCAATGTGTGCACCCGCATAGCCGACTCCTGCTCCTGCTCACCCCTCTACCCAGCCCATTCGCAGCACACCCCAACAAATCCAAATTGCTGTCGAAAACAATGACAGCAGCCCAGCGGAGCAGAGAGCAAAAGAGACAACAAGAGTGAGAGTGAGAGATGAGCAGACAGAAGAGACAGACTGCGCCCAGTCTCAAGTGCAGCATGACACGTGGATTTCTGTTCGTTTCTTTTTATTTGTCTTGTCGCAGCCCCGGCAGCCAGCACTCCTGTGGGAGGTGTATGTTTTTGGTAATTTGATTTTCAGATTTTCTCTGATTTGTCAGAGACGCCAAGTTAACGCTACATTTGACGCCATTGGCCAACAAAACAAAAGAAAAACCAAAAAGCAAACTGAAAATCGACAACGAAAAACGTGTGCTGAATTTTTAAATTCAAATTTTACACCAACCGCCCACTGCACCACCCCCTTTCGCTTTGTTGTTTAGCATGTTGTTTGCTCTCTAATAGAAAATCTTTTTGCAATTTGATTTTCACCATAATTGAGCAGGCTGGCAAAAGAACGCGACAATTTGTTACATCAGCTTTGGGCAAAGTCAAAAAATTCAAAAAAAAAAAAAAAAAAAAAGAGACAGAGAGGCGGTGCCATCTGCCATGCCCCCCGCTATATGGCCGGGTGTTGATGAGGCACTTTCCGTTAAATTTACTGTCGCACAAATTTGAGTTTTGCCTCACAGTTGCTACAGTTGTTGTTGTTGTTGCTGCTGCTGCGCACGTATTTGCCGTTTCTATTACAGTTTGTGCTGATTTTGATTTGCTGCCAGCTACATAGATCTAACCGGCCCCACCCACCCGCATAAAGCCTGCATACCCACCCTCTGTCCGCCTTTGCCTGTCATTCAATCTCAAATTCACTCAATCAGTCAGTGCGTCTGTCTGTCTGTTCGTCCGTCCGTCCGTCTGTTCGCCAGCCTGGCTGTTT